CGTCCCGGGTGCGCCGGGGTGCGCGGGGGGGCCCGGCAGCAGCAGCAACAGCAGCAGATTCCGGGGGTGTTCCTCTCCACCACAGCACGTTCATCAAAATATAAAACTTTTCCAGTCTTCCGTCTCAGATTTACAGCTCTCTGCGCTTCGGGTCCACTAGGAGTTTCCGTCCGCGCGTCCACTTAAATCCCCCGAAAGGTGGAACAACAAACTGCGGTCCCGTCTGGAGCTGCCCAGCGGGCATGTTGCGCAAATTCTCCGGCCGGGTCTATCGCCCTGCCACCGGTGGTGGTGAAGAGTAGAGGAGGAAATACAGCTGCTGCCTCCGGTGTGAAGATCCACAGCGATCTGCAGCCTCCACACCGACTCTCTCTCTCTAATCACGGACTGACGTCACACCGGTTACAATAACGTGTCTCCAGGCTGATCCGTCCATAGAGGGTAAGACACCGGGAGTGAGGGATGCGAAACTGGAAACTTAGGTATTTATTTAACTTGCAATATATTAGTTTTTATACTACATCTCTGAACAACCTTTTTTAAACTTTCAATTACTCTTTTTTAATGATCGATTTAGGAATTGACTTACCTTTCCAAAGATAATAAAAGTCCATTATTATTCCAGTGACACTTCAAGCACACAAATGAAGTATTTGTTGATATATTCTCAAGGAAAAATTAATGTACATTTATTTACAAGTCCATACATATTGCCCAACATCACTGCTTCTGTTACAACCACTACATTGTATATGGATAGTAGTAGATTCAATAAGCATAAAATATATTTAAAAAGTATACATTACTGTCATATGATGTAAATTATTTTATCACTGTTGGGCTCTACAGAAGGATGTTATGTGTACTAAAGTGAGGAGCTGTCTGGGGACATTCTTTATGAAATCATATATCCTTTGTTGATGATACAATCAAACATCACCTGAACATTTGTCTGCAGCAGCATTAGTCCTGCTGTTTTGCAGATGAGTTCAACAGGCTTTTTCTCAGAGCAGTGTGTCAGCTCCACATCCAGCTTCAGAAGCTCCAGGTTACATTCAGAGCCTTATCAATGCTCTCAGCAGCTCTCCATCTGTCAGACAGACTCCATCATCGCCACCCTCCTGCTCTGATGTGTCTCCGTCAGGTCGTGCCCTCTGGGCCTGTGCTGGCGGTGATTATTGCTGATGTTTTCCTGCCATCGATTAGCTTTCCACGGGTCTGTCAGTCAGTGGCGTATGAGATGAGTCTGGAGTGACAGATCAACACAAACACTGTCAGGATTCATCTGGTGTCTGTAACAACGCAGGAAATGAAAACTGTCCGTGTGACAGAATGAAGAGTCAGGATGAAGATGGTTCAGTCAAAACAGACAGGGTCTGAAATCAACACCTGACAAATAACTGTGAACACAAACTTCAACAGACTGGTCAAGATGGAGGAAGCAGAAACTCAGTGTCACTTCATTCTTCATCTCTGAGGGTCTGGAACTCATATAGAGACAAATCTTAACCAGAATCAGCTTTATTGGCCAGGTGTGAATTTGACTCTGGTAGCTCTTAACGTGCATGTACGGTGCTCTTCTATAAGGCAATGAGTAAACATGTAAACAAGATAGGACTGAGAGAACAAAGGAAAAACAATGTGCAAACAAAAAAGAATGCACACTTGGAAAATAAGAATAAAGTCCCGGGTCAACTTATTCATCTGTGCCATTGGCCTCCACTGTTCTTCAAAAACAATTAAAAACATCAGTTAAACAAACAAAGAAAGAAATAGTCACTGAAAGATCAGTGAATTAAAAAAATAGTTGGGTTTTCAAATCTGGGCCAAAGCTAACAGCATGGGAGCTAATTAGACTTCATTTTACACAATCGGCGAAGACTGAACTGAGTCCTCTGGTCAAAGCTGTGTATTGTGCCAGGATGCAACTTCACTTTTTTATCGTTTCATTTTTTAAAAATGTGACCTGAAGGCAGCGCAGAACAAAAGTGGTCTGAGTACGGATCCCTTTAGGCAACACATGGTCTTTTACTCAGATATGAACTGATCCAGGCGAGCACCAGCCCCTTGAGTGACAAAATGTTTCTCATTATGTTTTTAGAGGGTTCGTGATCCGCAGTGTCACAGAAATTGATAGAAATTCAAATCCAGTAACAGCAAGAAAGATGATGAGACTCTATATAGATTTATGGGTTGTTAGCAAGCGTTAGCTGAGTAAATTCAACTGTTTCAGTGAGTGCTGTGAGAGCTCTGTTTACTGTGTTTGCTATGTGTGAGAGGAAAAAGCCACCAGAACTAAACAGAGCTGATGTTGCGCTTTGAACTCCGTGTTTTTTAGATGTTTGGCTTCTCCTCCTAATTCTGCTGTTTGCAGAACAAACATTTCCAAACATGCATGAGCAGAGCGAAGCGTGTCAACTTTCTCTGTAGAAGAACAAAGTGTAAAGCCCACTAAAAAACCTCTGGAGTCTTTGTGTTTATTTTACAGAAATCAGCTCCATGAGTGCTTTGACATCAAAACTCCTCCAGACTGTTTCAGCAGGCAGGAATGAAGCAGAAATGTTTCAGTCAGCATGAAGCAAATGCAAATATAAAAAGCACACAATCAGGTCAAGGTCAAGGGTTTATTGTCATATGCACAGTGAGGAAACGTGTTCAATGAAATTCTTACTTTGCCGTCCACACGAATGCCACACAATACAAGTGAAATATAAAGTAGATACATAGGTAACACAAAATCTAAATCTCAAAATCTATGGCACAGTCAAATGTCTGTGCTCTGAAACTACCTGCAAGTGAAGTTTCATCACCTTCATTTCCATCTAGTTTGATGAAATGAAATGAAAACATGGCATCTAGTAATGACCTTCAGAAACAGTAGCCGTGGAGATGTCCTTAAATATAACTGTTGCTTTTGTATAGTGGTGTTGCTTGTGTGAGACCTGTTTAGATGCATGGTTGTAAAGAGCCATGCTCACTTTGTCCATGATCAGCAGGTCTTGTTTTTGTCCATTTAGTGCTGATTTTCACTTGACAAATGTCTGAAGCACTTTCCATATAAATTTCCCAGGCACAGTGTGGAGCAAGGCTTCTGGGCAGAATACAGAAACAGCAAACTCAGAATTCTCTCTTTACACTATTTGTCAGAAATGACGGTTTAACTCACAACATACAAAGACACACTCACAAAGACACAGTCAATACAATACATGGCTTTGTCACCAGTGAGCAACACCTGGTGTTAATGACACAGGCTCCTCAAATGCTTTGCTAAGACAGCACGCCCTGGTGGGTAGGGGTCCAAAGCACAAACCAAAGAAAATATCTCACCAGCTCACACTGGTTTAGAGATGTGACCCACTGAAAACACATTCACACTTCAGTTTAACACAAAATTATTTTAATATTTTAATATGAGCCTTTTTTTGAACCAGTCATTTGAAGGTATCTGATGGCAGAGGAAAGACGACTTTCATCTTCAAGGCCTCATCTACGCTCGCTGAGCCACTTCATCGGCCACCTGCAGCGGCTCTCCAGTCAACAAAGCAAAGTGCAAATGCAACCACTTTTACACATACTGTTAGTGTATCTTCACCGTTTGATGAAGAATTTGCTTTTAACTTTGTGTAAAGAAAGTTGAATTAGTCCTTCATTTGTGTTTATATAGTGCAGTTAAGGAGTATTATAAAACTGTGTGACTGGATTTGTGTGTGTCGGTGTGATATACGAGTGTGTGACAGCAGCAACCTGATTACACACAGCAGCAGTAAAAACCTAAGTATCAGTGATTAAACATGACAGCAGAGTGACACGTTTTATTATGGCATGAGTAAGTGCACCACAGGCTGAAAAATGTGCACACTCAGAGGAAATGATCTGCAGACTAGTAAAACCTCTGCTGCTTTCAGCCTCCGAAGCTCAGCAGTGAACCTATGAAGCAAACAGACTCCTCAGTGTCACCTTTGACCGGAGCTCTTTTAATTATTGTTGCATGCAAAGGTTTAATGGCACCAAGTGAAGAACAACAGCAGCCAACCTTTTATAGATGTAATATTCACATAATGGAAAAGTGCATGTGTTTCCTTTGCTGGTTTTGTGGAAATTTAACCTGTGCGATAACTGTATTGCTAATGCTACTGCAGATTTCATTCTCACCTGAAAACCATGTTTCAGTGCAGATGATTTTTTTTCCTCTTTATACTTTTTATTTATCTCTTGATCCCGTCCTGATCATTGCACAGTCTCTCTGTTGTTCTGTGTATCTGCTGAGGATATAACAATTTTGACCGGTTGGTGAGTGGATAGAGGAGAGAGAAAAGAAAAGCAACAGCACACAACAACAAACAATCAAACACTAGGCAGGTTGATGTGGCCGGTGACTGCTCATCAGAGACATAGAGCTCCAGAGCCAACAAATTCACAAACAGTCTTTAAAATGAAACTTTTTTATTCTTCTGACCTTTCTATATGGCCTCATATTTGCAGATAAACTTAACTGTGTGTTAAAAAAAGGATCATTTTCTATTCT